TACCTACTTAACTACTCTCTCTCTCCCTACCTATCTACTGTATCTCTCTCTCTATTTCTCTCTCTCTCTATCCCTTTATCTACCTACTTAACTACTCTCTCTCTCCCTACCTATCTACTGTATCTCTCTCTCTATTTCTCTCTCTCTCTATCACTTTATCTACCTACTTAACTACTCTCTCTCTCCCTACCTATCTACTGTATTTCTCTCTATCTCTATTTTTTTCTCTCGCTCTATCCCTCTACCTACCTACCTACCTACCTATACACACACACTCTCTAACTACCTACTGTATTTTTTCTCTCTCTCTATTTCTCTCTCTCTCTATCCCTTTATCTACCTACTTAACTACTCTCTCTCTCCCTACCTATCTACTGTATTTCTCTCTATCTCTATTTTTTTCTCTCGCTCTATCCCTCTACCTACCTACCTACCTACCTATACACACACACTCTCTAACTACCTACTGTATTTTTTCTCTCTCTCTATTTCTCTCTCTCTCTATCCCTTTATCTACCTACTTAACTACTCTCTCTCTCCCTACCTATCTACTGTATCTCTCTCTCTATTTCTCTCTCTCTATCCCTCTACCTACCTACCTACCTACCTATACACACACACTCTCTAACTACCTACTGTATTTTTTCTCTCTCTCTATTTCTCTCTCTCTCTATCCCTTTATCTACCTACTTAACTACTCTCTCTCTCCCTACCTATCTACTGTATCTCTCTCTCTATTTCTCTCTCTCTATCCCTCTACCTACCTACACTCACTCTCTCTCCCTACCTTCCTACTGTATTTCTTTCTCTATTTTTCTCTCTCTCTCTATCCCTCTACCTACCAACTTACCTACTCTCTCTCTCTCCCTACCTATTTACTGTATTTGTCTATCTCTTTCTATTTCTCTCTCTATCCCTCTACCTACCTACCTTACCTACCTACATGCTCTCTCTTTCTCTCTCTCTTTCTCTCTCTCTTTCTCTCTCTCTTTCTCTCTCTCGATCCCTTAATCTACCTACCTAGCTAACTCCTCTCTCTCTCTCCCTACGTACCTACTGTATTTATCTCTCTTTCTCTCCCTGTCTATCCCTCTAGCTACCTACTTTTTTTAAAAAAATGCCTCTTCAAAACCTTGGTGCGTCTTATATTCCGGTGCATCTTATACTCTGGTGCATCTTATACTCTGAAAAATACGGTACTGCTCATGTTTATTGTTGCCCCTCTACCAGTGTTTGTTTTCTGGAAGGCCGCTACAATTGTAAGGCTGTAAGGCTGTGGGTTCATTCCTTAAATTCAGCCTTAACAGCCCCATTGCCTTTATTACTTGCACCTTTAACTTTGTTGTACACAAAAATTGCAGCAGTTCAAATTTACTTGAGTTTGCAGGTGCCTCGGAAAATAGTAAATTATTACTAATTTTTCATCAATTCATTGGTTGCAGGAACACCTCATTCGGAACTCCTAGAAGAAGTTGAATGTATGCCATCACCACGTTTAGCACTTATCTTGAAAGTTACAGGACTCGGTACAACTCGTGAAGTTGAGCTACCCTTAACAAATTTCCGGTCAACTATATTTTACTATGTACAAAAATTACTACAGCTTTCCTGCAATGGCAATGTGAAATCAGATAAACTTAGGCGAATATGGGAACCAACATATACGTAAGAATTCAAGAATATGTTCATAATTGTAAAACAATCTAAATTTATATCTGCTTCTTTGATAGTAAACTACAGCAAACACATATATTTCTGAATAAACAGATGTAGGGATATTCTATTAAACAATTGTTAATACATGTCAGAAACAATATCTTGAAATATTTCAATATTAACAATACTGTGTCAGTCTTTGGGGTCATTAATTCTTTATTGTTTTCATAGCTTTTATCTTTACTGTGATAAGTAGATGTGGATTGAAGAATTAGGTAAAATATTTTAAATGCACCAAAACTAATCAGCTTTTTTTTAAATTTAAAGATAAGGTTCAAGAGTAATTCATTTGTGGAATGAAGACTTATATTGGTTGCTCTGACATTCTGTGCTGGATAAAATTTTCAAATATAGAAATGTTTCAAAACAATTGAAATTTGGGCCATTTCATATTTGAGTACAGTGTTTTGAGTATAGAACTCTTCATCTTGAATTCCACAGACCTCCTTTGAGCATGTGATGCCCTTTCTTGATTTTTGGGGCAGTATCTTAAGTTCAAAACAATCTGCTTTGCTTTTGAAACAGCTGTTATGCAATCAGGTGCATCAAATTCTTGGTTAAATTTGAGATATTTTGCAAACTTGTCATCTGAAGATTATTGAACATTATATTATTATGAAAAAGGAAAGAAAAGCACTTTTCTCTTCACTTTTTCTATACTGTGTATAAATTTATATACAAGTATGGTGCTCTCCTCCACTTTTTTCTAAACTAAACATAACTTCATAAAAATTGTTTTATTTCTTTCATTATTCTAATAGTCCTTTTCTATCAAATTTAATGATGCTTCAGTATCCATGATTATATACAATGACAAGCAGTTTAGACTACATATTTTGAATTATATCATACATAGTTTATAGCCATATTGTCCAGGGTTTATCTGGAAGTCCAAAATATCTGGAGAGCTTCAGTCCTGTGGGACAATTTATAATTTAGAAATAAGTTCTTTGGCAAGGAAAATCTAGTTGAAACTATATAAATAACTCTGATCTTTTTTATGTTTAGAATTGTATACAAAGAAATGAAGGATTCTGATAAAGAAAAAGACAGTGAGAAAATGGTGAGAACAATCTTAATCTTTAAATGTTTGCAGTTTTTGCACCTAAACAGCTTGAAAGCTATGCTAAATTAATTTTGTTACATAAGTTGTGAGTTATTTCATAAATGCATGTTCCTAGTGAAGCATAAATTTAAATCTTTCAAGCTTACAATCAGGAAAGGCCAACATTAGGTGATTCCTGTTGTAGGGTTGCTGGTCAATAGAGCATGTGGAGCAGTACCTTGGCACTGATGACTTACCAAAGAATGATTTGATAACCTACCTGCAGAAGAATGCGGATTCAGCTTTTCTGCGTCACTGGAAATTAACTGGCACTAATAAAAGCATTAGGAAAAACAGAAATTGTTCCCAACTCATAGCTGCTTACAAGGTATATATCTGCATCTAAAAGTATTAATTTGGAAATGTGTGGTTTTGGTCTTGTGAGATAGATTTGATATGAAGACTAACATTGTTTCTTGATTAGGTGTCATTAAATGCTGTTGTCATAGTTAGCTTTTACAAGCTGCAGGGTTTTTTTGTATACTTCTGAATTTGTCCAGTAATGATATCTTTAACATAATGCCTAAATCTAAGCTCCAGCTTGAGTTACTTTTCTTATTTTTTGTTTTTAATTTTTTTAAATTTATTTTTATTTATCAAATTTAGAAACTGCCCATCTTCCTTATAGAGGAACTGTGGATGGAGTTCAAATATCAAATATTAAAAACCTAAAAACTAGAGGCAAGGATAGTTAAAATTCAATATCAGAGTGCTAAACAGCCCCACAGCTTGCATGCTCCTCTGAGAAACCCATGCCAGGTGGCAGAGACAGGTCTTTAGACATTTCTGAAAGGCCAGGAATTTGGGAGTCTGTCTCACCTCTGGGAGGAGGGAAAATGTTCCAAAATAAAGGGGGTGGGGGGGTAACAGCAGAGAAAACTCCCTTCCTGGATCCCAGCATTTGAAATTCTATATAACTGATAGGGTCCACAAACATACCTTCCCCACTTGATTAAGTGGGATGGGCTGTTGTAACGGGTCAAGTTCTATTACAAACTCAATTTGTATTTATTTTTCTTCTGGTAATTCGTGCAGGATTTTTGTGAGCATGGATCAAAATCTAATTTGAATCAGGGAGCTATTTCCACGCTTCAAAATTCAGACATTCTTAGTTCAATTAAAGAACAGCCTCAAGCCAAAGCTGGTAATGGACAGAATTCCTGTGGAGTAGAGGATGTTCTGCAGTTGCTCCGTATTCTCTACATTGTTGCAAGTGACCCTTTTTCTCCTCGAACTTTACAAGAAGGTTAGTAGGAAATGGCCACTAAATATTTCCCCCCTAAAATTCTCTATTAAGAAAAGATGAAATAAAAAAATTATGTTATTATTTCAGAAGATGAAGAGCTCCAGTTTAATTTTCCACCAGATGAATTCACAAGCAAAAAAATTACCACAAAAATTCTTCAACAGATTGAGGTGATGTATTATTGAAAAATTATTTTAAGATTTTCAGTTGTATGCTCTTTTAGATGGTTCAGAAATTTAAAATATTTTGATGAAAAATTAATTCTACGAATATGCCTTTTATATATGATCTATTCATCATATATATCTAATTGGTATTCATTTCACAAATCAAATGGAAAAGAGAGGCTATCTATCTGGGGGCCAAGGAGATATTCAACGTCAAATAAAACTAATGTATCCAATTACACAATTCACTTGACATACTCTCACACTTGAGTGGTAAGCTTATTTGGATGGAAATTACTGAGATATCCATTTTAAAAGTTCAGATTAAATTTGCATTTAAATAGTAAACATATTCTTCCTTTAATATCATTAAATGGCTTATTAAAGTGGAAGAACCTATCTGAGCAAGTAGCGAGTAAGCTTTATTACTCTGTGAGATTTGGTAGGAGGGGATCTTCTAGTTCACAGATGTCAAACTCGCTGTGTCATGTGATGTATCATGACTTCTTTGCCTTTACAGAGCAGGGGTGGATGTGGCCTGCAGATGACACATCTGGCCTGCAGGCTGGCAGTTTGGCACCCCTGTTCTAGTTCAAGGCCATCAGAAATTTTTGATCTCAGATACTAGGAAATCTCTGTTGCTGTATGTCATTGTGGTGGGATTGTGATCAAGAGAGACAGACTGCACAGGTGGGATAATTGTTTCAGTGTGTTAGAAGAAACCTGCACAATCTAGAACTCTCCGAGCTGCAGTCCCAAACGTAGCTGACCTATCCAAGAATTGTAGCTAATCCCAGTTTTAGGGAGATTTTGTTAAACAACCCCACCTCCTAAGCCAGAGAAGTGAAAAATACTTAACATGCCTCTTGCTCCAGATTTCTGTTTGCCAAGGATTTCATTTTCTTGGAGGTTGCCACCCCTGAAGATAAGATTGCTATGTAAGAAAATTAATTTTTATATAGCATTTATGTTAATTTATGAGAGCTCTGCTAACACATCATGTTTGAAGCTGAGTGTGGAAAGGACAAGCTGGAATGTACAAATAGCTTTATATCTCTGCATTTTACCTGTCTGACTTACCTGTTTTCACATCTTAATTATTAAATTGCAGGAACCATTAGCATTAGCAAGTGGAGCTTTACCAGACTGGTGTGAACAGATAACTAGCAAGTGTCCTTTCTTAATCCCATTTGAAACTCGACAACTATATTTCACATGCACAGCATTTGGAGCATCAAGGTGAGAACCTTGCTCAAAATTATTTGATTTTTTAGTTATTATTCTAGTGTATAACAGGTTTTTAAAAACATGAATATTATAAGCATTAGTTTGTTATGTTAGGGACGAATAATCTTAACATTCATAATATCAAGAACTTTCAATATTTTACAGAAAGTGATGAAAGAGATGCTTAGCATTTTAAACTAAACTAATGCATTTCTTTTTCTTACCAGAGCAATTGTGTGGCTACAGAATCGACGTGAGGCAACTGTTGAGCGAACACGAACTACAAGTACTGTACGAAGAGATGATCCAGGAGAATTCAGAGTTGGGCGCCTTAAACACGAAAGAGTCAAAGTTCCACGTGGTGAATCTTTGATGGAATGGGCAGAAAATGTTATGCAGATTCATGCAGATAGAAAGTCAGTTTTGGAGGTAAAATATATCCCTCTTAAAAAGCAGTAAAATAAAAATTAACAAGGCAATCAATCTGTGTATCCACCGGTCTCCCTTTCTGGAGGAAGGGGAAAGGTAGTTTTATTTTGCAGCCTCCCATGTACTCTATGCATAATGCATAAGAAACAAAAATAATTTAGTCTCCCATTTTCATTCACTGGAAGTCTCTATTGATTCTCTGTCTTTTCTGCAAGTGAAACAAAGGTCATCTATAGAAAGGCAAAACTAAATGCATCCTCACACTGTTCTTTCATCTCCACTGCTTTACTTCATTTGTGTTTTGTAAGATCGGTAACGTTTCCCTTGGAGGTACTTAAAGCTTTTCTTTTACCGATTTTCAGGTGGAGTTTTTAGGAGAGGAAGGAACAGGATTAGGGCCTACGTTGGAGTTTTATGCATTGGTAGCAGCAGAATTCCAGAGAACAGAATTGGGAGCTTGGCTCTGTGATGATGATTTTCCAGATGATGAATCACGACAGGTAGATTTTCTTTTCAGAATAAATACAAATAAAAGGTGTGGTACTATGTAACTTCAATAACACTTTTCTTCTTTGCCTTTTTTTTTAAAAAAAAGGTTGATATCGGCGGCGGATTGAAACCTCCAGGATACTATGTACAGCGATCTTGTGGGCTCTTTACAGCACCGTTCCCACAGGATAGTGATGAACTTGAAAGAATCACGAAACTGTTCCATTTTCTTGGGATTTTCTTAGCTAAATGTATCCAGGATAATAGACTTGTAGACTTGCCAATTTCTAAACCTTTTTTTAAACTCATGTGCATGGGTGATATTAAAAGCAATATGAGTAAACTGATTTATGAATCACGGGGTGACAGAGACTTGCACTGCACTGAAAGTCAATCAGAAGCCTCTACAGAGGAGGGACATGATTCCCTGTCAGTAGGAAGTTTTGAAGAGGATTCCAAATCTGAATTTATTCTTGACCCACCAAAACCTAAGCCTCCAGCATGGTTTAATGGAATCCTAACATGGGAAGATTTTGAACTGGTAAACCCTCACAGAGCAAGATTTTTAAAGGAAATGAAGGATCTTGCAATTAAGAGACGTCAAATATTAAGCAACAAAGGCCTTTCAGAAGATGAAAAAAATACTAAACTTCAAGAACTTGTGATGAAGAATCCATCAGGTTCTGGACCTCCACTTAGTATAGAAGATTTAGGGTAAGGGGATTTTTCTTCTCAGCTTGTTTTTGTAAAGTTTGGTTAAAGGAATTAGCATACCTACTTTAAAAATTGTGTAAACTACATGTTTTCTAAACAACTTGATTGTATTGAAGTGTTGTGTAGATTTTTTATTTAAACGTCTTTCTGTTCATGTACCGTGTTTCCCCGAAATTACGACATATCCTCATAATAAGGCCATCCCACATTTTTCTGGTGGGCAAAAATATAAGCCCTCCCCCGCAAATAAGCCCCCTGCACAGCTGGAGAGGGGGGGTTGCGCATTCGCTCGCGTGCCTCCCAGCTCTCTCCGCAGAGCCAGGGGACCTTCGCTGCCGCGTGGCTTTTTCTGCAGCTTCCAAACCGAGTCTTCCGGCAGTGACCGCTCTGGGCATACAGTCTATGGTTCTACATTCTACCAGCAGCTGGCCCACAACCATAGAGCATACGCCCAGAGCGGCCACTGCCAGAAGACTCTGTTTGGAAGTTGCAGAAAAAGCCACGCGGCAGCAGAGGTCCCCTGGCTCTGCGGAGAGAGCTGGGCCAGGGCATCATGAGGTTGGGAGGCGAGAGAGCGAGAGCCGAACAGCCGCTTGCGCAACCCCCCTCTCCGGCCGTGCAGAGCGCCATTCACTGCCATTTTGAAGGCGCCAAGCCACTGGAGCCAAGCAGCAGCGAACAGATGCTCACGTGGCTTGGCGATACCCCTAGGTCAGTGAATAGTGCTGTGCCCGGCTGAAAAGGGGATTTGTCGGGTGGCTGCTCATGAGTGTGGTCGCTTCATGGCTGCTGTGTTGTGCTGCTGTGACAGCGCAACACAGCCATTTGCCCATGAGGCTGTGCCCGGCTCTTTGGGAGTCCGCTCGCAAGAGAGCAGCCGCCTGGCAACCCCAAAACAATAAACCCTCCCTTTATATTAAGGCCCAAGCCATATTTTGTATGTAAAAAGAATATAAGACCCTGTCTTATTTTCAGGGAAACACAGTATATATTATTTTTCATTCGGTATTAGGTTATTCAACCAAAGTAACATGAGGTTCAGGATGAACAAAAATGTATTCAATTACAATTAGTTGATAAAATCAATTGACAAAAGACATGGATTTTTTAGAGAATTATCTAGTTTAAATCTTATAAAGAACTTTAATCATAAACAGCAGGTGTATTTTCTAGTTCAGAACTTCTGGGTCTCTATTCATCTCAGAAGAAATAATGAGACAATACAATTTTCAGCCTTCTTTGGAATTTCTTGAAGATACTGAGAATCAGAATATTGGGTTAGATAGATTTTTGATCTGTTTCACCAGAGATAAAGTTTTATTCTTACAATTGTATGTAAGAATGAATGTGATATTATTTATGAATCCATATTGCTGTGACTATTATCATGGAAATACTGTGATGCTTCCTGATACTTAGTTAACTGTAAAAAATATTTATAATATACTAATGTTGTTTTTGTTTTATAGTCTTAATTTCCAGTTTTGCCCTTCATCCAGAGTTTATGGCTTTACAGCAGTGGATCTCAAGCCTGGTGGAGAAGATGAGGTAGTAAATAATTTTAATATGGGAATTTAGTAGTGATCAAAAATTATTGAATTAAACTATTAATTACATTAAGTTATTAAATTTAGTTTAATTTAATGAACCCATTTCAAGTGCAGAATAGTCCATTGTCCATATTATAATACATCTTGTATTATAATATGAAATTCTTTGAAATATGTGAAATGTGAGGAATTGTTAGGGATGTTAATGCTAGGGTATTAATGTGAAAAACACCATTATCTGTAAGCTTGACCCATACTCTTCCTGTCTCATTTTAGTGGCAAATAGGGTGTAAGCACTAGATATAAGAAAAAATCAATACTTTTGAGGAAAACCTTAATGCTGTAATGTTGAAGTCTTGGAAGATTCAAGAGGAAGAAGTATCTGGAAGCTTTTCGGGGACTATTTAGGCCTAATCATGAGACATAAACAGGTGGCTTCCTTCAAGCCTTGGGCCACAGTAGATGAGATTCCTCTGATTAAATTTTCTGATGCGTTGTTTGGATTACAAGGAGAAATTACCATGTAATTATGTTGTAGTTATTTTGAAATGTACTGGCTTAGTTTATTATATTTATTTATGTTTTCTGTTTCATGAGGTGCCCAGAGTTGGTTGGGCAATATCAACATCTCTTCCTGTTATCTAGAGCAGGGGCGTCAAAATCACATCACGGCGGCGTGACACAACCGGGCAGGGGCATGGCTAGCACATGATGCATCCAGCCTATGTGCCAGGAGTTTGACAGCCCTGATCTAGAGAGTCAATATTTTGAGCATTCCCCACCCCCTCAAGATATATGGGATATAGATGAAATAACAGGCCTTCTCTATAGTACCTCTTATTCTGGAAATCTCTCCCTGTGTAGTTCAAATTCTTTTGTATTTTTGAAAGCTAGTTTAAAACAAGACAATTTAATGTCTTTGTCCTGCATTCAGGGAGGCATCAGTATAGCATAACATAGAAAGTGGTTGGCTATATAAATATGACATATAAATTTTTTGAAGTTTTCAATGCCTTGAATCCTTTAGGATTGTTGCCAATTAGAGGTTTTATTAAATATATTTTAAAAATCTGTACTCGGAACAGCTATTTATAAAAACTACACATATTTCACAAACGTGCACTCTAGCAGAGTCCAATATTTCCTTTAAAATCTTCTGTAATGTAACATGAGTTCCTTTTGTTCATTGACAATCTCATTATAGTTGGTAACCATGGATAATGCAGAAGAATATGTGGATATGATGTTTGACTTTTGCATGCACACTGGCATACAGAAACAAATGGATGCCTTCAGAGGTTTGTAATTGTTTATTACTGACAAATAAGAACATAAATCTCTTACTTAAAAGGGATATGGGGAACTGGGCAAGAAAGGAGATGTTGCTTTTAAGTCTTAGCTGGAATTTCTAAATAAACTAGTGAGAGGATATTCTTTTCAGGTAAAATTAGTGGGTACCTGTTGTGGCCCAACTGTGGCCGGCTGAGCTGTTGGTGGAATCTGACAGCGATGAACACTATGGGACTGCCCTGGAGGCTGAGGAAGACTCTGTGGGGTGTTCAGAGTCAGAGCAGTGACTAGAGAGGCCTGTTGGCCACCAAGTGGCGCCTGAGTCAGGGAGCAGTGAGGAAGAACAGAGGGAGGCTGTCCCTGACGTACGTATGCATAGGGCTGCAAGGAGGAGGGAGCAGCTTTGAAAAAAGGGTCACAGAAAGAAATAGGAACAGGTGGCTACTGATTGGCCCCTCCCGGAGAGCTTATAGGTGGGGCGACGGGAGGGGAATTTTGCAGGCAACAACAATTTACTGGAGGAGCCGAGGTGGCGCGGTGGTTAGAGTGCAGCACTGCAGGCTACTTCAGCTGACTGTTAGCTGC